CAGCTTAGCGAATCAGTGCATGAGAAGCGTCTACCGGACAGTCAGCGGGGAGCGTAACACAATGACATTTAACAACAAGCCGTGCAGTCCCAAAGAGCTGCTAGCTCCCAGTACCTCCCGTTCGTCCTGCTCCCTGTTCGTCATTTTTCAATAGGACGAGAGTGAAAATGTGAAGAAAAACGCTATTTGGTTGTTTGTTCATATTCACCGGAAGTCTGTTCTTCTTCTCTGTCTTCCGGGTTTTCCGGTTGTTGCTCCTTTTGAATGAAGAATACAACAGTACCGCCGCCTGCTGGTAAGGAGAGTTATTGCCACTCACCGGCATGCAGCAGTTCATACGTGCCTCGGCTCCGATTGGCGGTGTGTTCAAGTGCGCGAAGTCGGCAAATACGCAGGAGAGTCCGGCGACGCAACAGGTGACTGGCCGGTGTATCTGGGCCTTAAGACAAATCAAGAATGAAAGTTACGGCCCCTACACACGGCGGCGTGCGTTGAAGCTTGTCGGCGGGCATGTCTGACACTCGACCAACAACCAATCACATGAATCTCCTGCCCCGGACACACAAGCAGCGGTTTGATTGGCTAGAGCTTGTACTGGCATATGATTCGATTGGCTGACGCTTCCGTCGAAGCTTCAAAAGTTGAACATTGCTCTACTTTTGACGCTTTGCTCCCACAATGCAGTTCGGAGAAGCGTGACGTCACCCCAGTCAAAGTGAATGGGCAGAAGTGTTTAAGCTTCAACGCACGCCGCCGTGTGTAGGGGCCGTTACAGTGATGTGTAAGAAATGAATCATTATTGTACTTGATAAGAAAGCTTATTAAACGGACCGTTGCTCCTTTCACTCCAAAGAAAATGAACCTTAAAGTTACGTTTTATTCATTTGTTATCGACACTGGTTACATCACCTGCAATGCATTCATGTCTGCACTAAAATACAAACAGTTCACATATTAGTGGATTCACCCCCATTCAACGGACATGTTTGTCTTCACTATGATGAAATGCAAACACCCACACACACACAGTCATGCTGTCCTCCTCATTGTTTGTCTTTCCTGTGTGTGTGTGTTACAGGAAACACCACCTGGATCCCAGCAATAACTACAAGGTGAGAAACATGCAGCACACCCGTCTGATTCATGAATCTGAACGCGTCAAAGAAGTCGACTCAGAGCCTGTATTTGATCTATGTTTAATCAAGATTGAAAGGTTTCTTGAAAATGAGGCAGGTTGTTTTAAAGTATTCTTTTTGATAAACACAGCAAGAAGAAATCTTAACCTCCTCCAGTCGAAATATATATTTTCTTACAAGAACTGTGATCACATGCGATTTAAGGATTTAAGGATTTAAGGGACCAAAATCTTATTCAAAAGTACAATTTCAACTAATACTGACATGTTTTTGGAATCAAATCAAAGTGAGAGGATTTCCTTCATCTTTTATTCTCCATTGGGCGTGTTATTCATTTGTTTCTATTATACCTGTGTGTGTTCAGGTGGAAAAAGAGGAGGTGGAGGCTCTGCTTCCCAAAGGAGCTTCTGAACTGACCAGACAACAAATCCGCTACCTGCTGCAGGTCAGTTTTTAACATGCAACGTAATAAAATCTAAGTATAGCACACTTCCCCATCGAACAGAATATATCATACTGTCATGAAACACATGGATATATCTGCAATGGTTGGTTTACTTGTGTGTGTGTGTGTGTGTGTGTGTGTGTGTGTGTGTGTGTGTGTGTGTGTGTGTGTGTGTGTGTGTGTGTGTGTGTGTGTGTGTGTGTGTGTGTGTGTGTGCCTGTGTGTGAGAGAGAGAGAGATGTGTGTGTGTGTGTGTGTGTGTGTGTGTGTGTGTGTGTGTGTGTGTGTGTGTGTGTGTGTGTGTGTGTGTGTGTGTGTGTGTGTGTGTGTGTAGACTCGTCTCACTGCAGATAAGAGCATGCGTCTGCTGCTCTCCACCTTCAGCAGTCTGAGAGAGGAGCTGCTCCACATGAGAGAGGACATGATGGTAAGAAGTGAAGCATTTCATTCAGGTGATGAAACTCCTCCCTTAGTTCAGATCTCCATGGAGACAGTGGGAAAACACAAAGGTGTCAGCAGCATCACAACAATGAGGTCATGGGATCTGCTCGCCAAACATGAATGACATAATGGTTGACACAACCTCAAAGAAATACCAACAAGACAAGACTTAAGAAATTATAGTATAGTGAAAAAAACTTATTTCTGCTGTTCAGTTTTAGGGGAATGAATGTACTGTGTAAATGTAAAAAAAAAACTCCTATATGTGCAAAGTATCTTATTAAATACATTCTTATTAAATAAATTCTTATTAAATACATTCCTAAAAAGTAAGTTATAACTATAGCTTTCAAAAAATTAATCAAAGGAAACA